CCGTGAGGGCAGCCAGGAATGCTTTGAGTCAATCGGGGTTTCAGCAGTTCTGCTTACAAGAAAAGGATCCTAGATCGCCATGGTCGTTCCGTGGGAGATTTATACGCCTAGATGTGCCTTCGAAACTAGTCTCACGCCTATCTTCCAAATCAGCTGAACGATTCTCGAAACAGACTTGTGAAGCAAAAGAGCGCAACGGTAGTTACAGTCAAGAAGTCGTAGGTTCGTTCTCCTGGCGTGTGGATGTTTTGCTTTTTGGCAAAACACATAGTAGTCCGCCAAAGGTCATTCTGGCTCCATTTCAGCTGAACAACACGGTAAACAACGACAAGGGGTCCTTCTACGATGCCTTTACTGTGAGCTCCGACCACTACTGTTGCGCTGTTTTGCTTCATAACTCCTTCAGAAAATCGTTTAGCAGATTTGGAAGGTAGATTTGAGATCAGCGTTCGAAGGCACATCTAGGCGTTTATATCCCATGTTGGATGGGGCCCATGGCGACCTAGGATGCTCTCCGTCATAGCTTAAACTCTGTCCGTTTCAGCATTAGGACGCATTTTTGAATCTTAGTCGGTTTGCGATTGGTTACTGACCCTGAAGATTGGAGAGTTTTGGATCCTGGTAGGGTTTTGGACTTCTAGACCCACCAATGGTTTAATATATCGCCATGTTCGACTCTCGATGAACCTCGGAATAGTGGAGTACGAATTTATTTGACTTCAACAGCACACGAGGTTGACAATGATCGGCTAACTTTCGGCGTTTTCGCCTTCTTCGGAGCCTAAAAAGGTGGAAACCAATTTACGATTTATCGACCAAATGTCTCCCTACCCTACGAGACCTTCGAGACCAGCTAGACCATCACATAATTAATAGGCAGATAAAGTACCGTACCTTCCCGATCAGCGGAATCAGCTCACAGAACGACAGTATAGCGGATGTCGGACTGATCAGAGTTCAGGGTTCCGGTTGGAAGGCTAACCTTATATAGGGGGTTAGTTCCGCGTTATTGACACACATTCTCCCTGCGGTTTAATATCAAATTGAAGGCCATAAAAAGTCAAGCATTTTCGTGCCACTCAGATCTCATCTATGATTTACTTACCTTCCAAATATTCAAGAATTGTGGTTTCTGATGGGGGACGCGGGCCACTTCACGGACATACGTGACGAGGTTCTCATTAGCAAGTGGCAGATGGCTTCGTGAGAGCAGGAGGTCTGCGACAACGCTCAGCCTCTAGCAGGGGTCAACTCCCCGGCCATAGACGACTGTCGATGGCCATAGCCTAAGACTTCCGAGGTAGCAATGCTACTCTTTCCTCAACCTTCGGATACGTAAACAGCTGTTTAACAAACAAAAACTAATGTTGTTGTTACACAATGGATCCGCTGGATTCTGGGCCCAACGACTGAATCTTCTGCTCAACTGAAGTCCCTGGTTATAACTGGGAAAACAGGAGGGCTGCATTGCGTGATTAAATTGAACTTTTCTTCTACATCTTATCAAACGCTGTCAGAACGGGGTATTCTTGAAGAACGCTTATATCAAAAAAGGAAACCTACTTGGAGGAAAAGAAATCGACTTTCCATGAAATGCTCACATTGAAGAACTGCAAATGTGGTTTCCCTGTAGTTCTTCAAACAGGCGACGATCTAAACGGGGAGCTGGAGAGCTTTCCAACTGTCGTCCCTTATCCCTCTCAGCAAGATTATAACCGCCAGCGCCGCATTACGATCGACTTGTGCTGCGTATAACGCATCTTTTATTCTATTATACTCCCGTCCGCCGACATGTCAGGCCGGACGGCCGCCGCCGAAGCGCTTTCCCCGGTCCCTTCCTTTTGGCTCTTGGCTCTTTCCCACCCCGGGTCCTGACCCGTCCAAGTCACATCCAAGCATCAACTCAACCTCCTTCTATTACCTCATGCGCACGGTTCAATCGCTAAGCCTCAAACCAAGTTCACTTGGGGACAAGCGCTGTCCAGCGGGGCAGAGGCGTCCCCCGTTCGCTTCCGGACGGCGAGTTGCCGTTCCACTCACTCAGGGCGACCCCAAGGATCCCCGTTTAGAGATGTTTGTGGATGCCGCGTGCGACGTCGTCAGCGGCGGCTTGCGCTTTCCACTGAGTATTAGACGCAGCCAGTTCTCAACAACACGAATGCTCACAATTTCACTGCGTAGTCCGCCCACCCGTCGCCTGCGACACCGCATACGACGCCGCAACCTAAATGTAAATTCACTTATTTACAACGGAATTTTCGATTCTTGCTCACGTAGTCTTCCACGAAGTCCCGTATATCTCTCAACTCGTCGCCTTGAGCTCTGTCTGTTTGTTGTGCTTTCCGCTTTTGGTTTTTGAACTTGTTTTACAACCATCGACCTTCATATATCCTAAATTTTTCGGCCATTCGATTTTGCGTTCGTCATCTTTTTTTTCCTCGTCAGCGCGACCAAAGGCCACCCACAGGCCCTCTATCGTGACCCCTCACAGCACTACTCATACTCGATTTAGAAAGCGAGTTCAAATGAACATTCTTATCCCTAGTAGTCAGTGTTGCAGTGCGCCTCTTGCATAGGCAAGAAAGAGGTGAATCTCCGTAGGTAGGCTGATTTTAGTCAATGGAAGACATAACGAATCTGCACTCCACGTCGAGCCCCCCGTACAAGATCCACCAACACAAGAAAGATCAAACAGTCGTGTGACCAAATCACAAGGTTGCTGAACATAGCCGTAAATTGTGACAAGATCATAATCATCTTGTACTTACGCACCCTTGATTGATTGTCTCGAATTTGAAGTGGTGTCTCTTAATCGTACATTGGTTCCAAAGCTCTAAGAGGCTGCAGACTCCTCTGCGCGGGGATGGTGACGATCCGAAGGAAGTGCAGATGGGTGTGGAGGACAAGGAAAATGGTGAAGCGTCACTTTCTCCAGCAAATAATGCATCAGTGACATCCGATGATGTCAGTGCTGGTGAGATTTTTTGCATGTTTTTATTTAGTGATATTGTAATATGGGTTATCCTTTTGAAATTCCGAGCGTGTGATACATGTTTGAGGTTTTGAGGTTACTGCAACACTCAAAGGATTAAGTGGGCGCAGGGAGGGATTCGGTTCGGATTTTTTTTGGAGAAATTAACAGGCTTACAAACATATATTCCTAGAAGAACAAAATTTCAGTAGAGGTGGGTATAACAAAATGAAACAAAGTTCCACATTTTCAGTTTGTCACATCAATTTGAAAAACCTCAATATTAACTAAACTATTTCGTGTNTTNAGTTATGCGGGCATCATGACTAGTGTTCAGTTTCTAGAGACTAATTGAGCCGTGCAACACAGGGTAGTGTAGCACGTCTTAAGGATGGATGGTGAGGGCATCACTTACATGCGTGAAAAGCTGAGTTTGGTCACACCAACACATGACTGCGAGAGGCTGGCCAGCATGAATGCCGGGGCCCACCCTCACTGTATAGACCCTAATTTTTTATGTCACAAGCCCTTCAGAAATATCTTAGCTCTGATTATGATTCGTACCATCTCAATTATTTGTCATTTATTCGATCAATACAGTCATCTTTCTGGTGTAAATAAGACTGCATAAGCTACTTATATCTCGGAGGCGCCGGTTTCTTATTCGCTAGATATTTATTTTACATCAGGAAATTATTGGAGGATACGGTGGACGTTCTTTGAGTCAAGGGCCCACTCTTAAAAGCTAAGCATAGGACATCAAATTTTGCGCATACCATAACGTGTAATCTGTGCTAAGACATATTTAAGCAACAAACGGTGGCTCTGCTTCAAGCGATGTGGAGTGTATCGAGATTGATGAGGAAGTAAGCGAACCTCCAGCAAAGAAATTGAAAGGCAATGACTCTCACGACTCTGATGTCGCTGTGATAAACGTATGTTTATTAGTTGCCGTTCTCCTTTTTCATTTTTGAACCTCCTGTACGTTAAGGGAAAAAGCGAAGAGAAACCATCTCAAAAGGAGGACAAGCACAAAGAGAAAGAGGCAGAACTGACCAGTCCTGGAGCTTTGTTGAACAAGTTAGAAGAATATGTTTCCGATGTAAGTTTTTTTCTGACGTTTTTTTCCTCACAGAAATGTAAGCAAATCACGGCTATTGTTTCAGGCTATCGATAACAAGAAGAACATCGATAGGAAAGTTCTCGATGCGCTATTAGGCGCAATTAATGTGCAAGTTCAAAAGGAACCGCTCAGTGTACGAAAACTGATTCTAGACAAGCAGCTTGTACTGCCCAACACGATCTCATTCCCACCTAGTTTGGTTGGTTTTTTATACCACTGACTTTTCTTTGTTATACTATCTGCATTCTCTCAAGGATGCATTCCTAAACTCCCACAGTGGTTCATTCCCACAGATGTCTCATTTCACCTCGGGTTTGTGCCTCGCAGTAATTTATATACCGTTTATTCAGACGGTAGACATGCTTATCGAGCACGATCCAGATCATCCGCTTTCGAAGGTAATCACTAGGATGTTCGGCGAGGAGCGACCGAAGCTTAATGAAACCTGAGAAGAAAGAACGCCAGTCATTAAAGGTTGACGCTTAATTTATCCCTGCTCAATACTGAAAACTGAGGTTGTGTTTGTTTGCAGCTACACAATAATGCTCCGCACATGACAAAGCTGCTTTTGGACATAGGACAAGACTTGGTTCAGGAGTCAACCTATTGCGACATAGTGCACGCTAGGAATCTGCCGGAGACTCCAAAGAATATTGAAACTTACAAGCAGGTTGGATTTGTTCCCAGTAATACATTTTCCATTTCAGGAAGCAATAATTCCCGCTTAAAGTGTAGGAGCCATGGCAGAAATTCAATTAATTGACTTCTGATTTGCGAGTTTCAAACTCTGCTGAGTCTCTGTGGTTAAGTATAAATTTGCAAGAAATAATGCGTTTTTTTTACAACGCTACGGAAACACTTAGCTTACGCGAGCTTCTATCACGTAAGCTGTTACAGTGATAAGTTGCGAGATATTGGCTTAGCTTTGAGAGTTGGTTAAACGATTTTGTTTTCTAGATTTAGCAGACCTTTTAGTCGGAAATTTATTATTATTTCTTGGTAACATTTAAGAGTTGCGGCGGTGGCTTATTGGTAAATGAGCCACATATAACGCTGTTTGCTTTATCCTTTACTCTTTTAAAACGAGTGTAAATTCGAAAAAGTTGGACTGGAACTCGCTTTGTCAGAACGATAGCTTGTTTGTATGGATTTGTACGCAAGATTAAAAAAATTCTTCCCGACTTAATAGACCCGATGTGCAATAGGTGTTGACTTGACACCCAGCCCGTCTATGGTTTCTCGCGCGTATCGCCGTTTTTTTGGGTAGGGGTTCTGCGCCTTGTGCGTAGGCGGTAAGATTAAAAGATAGCACGCAACCGATGGGCCACCACAACTCTGGCGCCGTCAAATGAAATGCGAGCCCGCGGCAACCACACGCTTTGCTGTGGGCTTTTCTTCTGGTTTGGATTGAATTCCTTCCTTTCGTAATGGTGAATTTAATATCAATTGCGTTACCCTCTAATTGTTCATCTCTGTTGTGTTCCGCCTTTCGAGCAGATTAGAGTTTTACTATTATACTTTTCAGCACTCATGTCTTTGGGGGGGGGGGGGAAAGGGGGACTGGGCATATTCGAGTTATGAGCCGCTCACAGTGCTTGGAACTGAGCCTGCGAGCACTTTTTGTTTTCCATGCGCTTCTCCCATCTCCAGGCTTAGTCATAGTGCCACCAACAGTTGGCCCTGTTTTGAATATCTTTCTTAGGGTCATGAGCGCCTGTATATTCCTGGAATTTTTTTGGGCAAGTATAAAAGGTGCGCCTAAGACGCAAAGGTTCGAAAAAGGCGGTAAGAACGCTTCACAGTGTTGAGAACAAATAACAAGAGTACTGAACCATCCTAAAACGAACACTGAGACATACTTAGCACAGGTAGAGCATAAGAGCCATCACTAACGGTTTTGAATGGTGCCCCATGTGATCAAAACTTTTTCTACTTGCGTCAGATTCACGAAGACCAAGCAAGACCATAACAGACGACATTCGATGTCGCCCATCACAGAATCCGAAGCGGCGACATCGAGCTCACGTCAGTGCGAAGTGTTTGATCGGTCCTGTTATTTGATGGCGCCAGGGTTACGATAGTTCGGCAGTTGCGTACTAACTAGATTCTTCTCAATAAGTGCCTATAGGAAACCGTCTTTCTGAAGTGGATACTAATGTTGAGAGCTTTCAGGATAGTTTTCGGATATTTAGAGCAGCATATCAGCATAGGACTGTGTGATCTGAGACTGTGTTTCGACACTACCTCTTTGAGCAGCATAATTATTTTCAACTATATTTTCCTTCCCGTAATCTGGTGTAATGAACTCGATAACAGTCTAAGCGATAGCCATTCCCTCATATTGACCTTTTTAGTTGCAAGCATGAAAGCAGCAGGATTGTATAGAAACGAGAAGATCTCACCAAGGCTCTGAAAGTCAAGGATTTAGAATCGAGTTTGGGTGGAAAACATCCTCTCTAGCAGCTTGTAACTAAGTAGATACGTGTTGGGACATAAATAAGCAAACTGAAAATTGTGTGCAAATGCTCATTTATAATTTTTTTTTAAAACAAGATTTGTGCTGGATGGATATTCCATTAAACTAGTTAGTTATATGTGTTCCTGAAAAGTGTGTTGTTTGAACACTTTTCAGACGACCAAGTCACGGTGGTTATGCTGTTCCATATACAGGGGGGGCCAAAAAAAGTCACTTTGCCTATGGCGCATATCATCAAACTTTTCGTCGCAAAGGATGCCGCTGTTATTGGGAGTTATACGGCGAATTATTCCTTAGATGTCCCCCCATAAGCAGAATCAGGCCCACCTTCGCTGCGTTCACCGTCTCCAGAATATGACGTCATCTGTCATCACCGTCGAGCTTAAGGAGGCCTACAATAATCGCTCCATTCTGAAGCTGCTACATAAATTCTTCAATCGGATAACTGGTGAATGACTTCTTAGAGACACTAGCTCTGACTATGCAAAATGGCTTTGACC